CTGTCTTGCCTGTGGGGCCAAGGCTGAGGGCACCTGCAGCCCCAAAGCCTCCAGATGGGAAGGCAAGGGGAGAGATGAGGAGCAGCCATTGGGACAGGCTCCAGGCTGAGCCTCAGCACTCCTCCCTGCAGGAAACCCTGGCTCCCACCAGCTCCACGGTGGGAGTTATAGCGTGTGTACATGTTCAAGGTGTCTTGTAGCTGGTCCAGGGGCTGGAGTGGTGCTGCATGCATGTTGTAGTTTAGTTTGTTTGCCCTTGGCCTGGTGATGCGATACTGTCCTGTTCAACCAGGCCTTGAACCAGGCAGCTGGAAAGGACCCCTCGGTGAGCAGCTCTTGCAGCATCTCTTCTAGTGCAGCAAAGGGGCATCTGCTCTGTGCAGGATCTGCCCAAAATGAAATGCAAGAAATTCTGAACCTAAATCATGCCTCAGTCAGTGCTATAAGCTGTTTCAAGACCTAACTCACACCATTTGACCACTGGCTATTTTTTTTTCTGGTTGTAAATGGCATATTTTCCTGTTGTAGATGAGGAAGATCTAAGGACAGGGGATGGGCATGCCAAGGGCAGAGAGAAGCAAGAAGCTGCGTGTAAGGTTCTGCAAACCTTCCACCTTTGAGTGGCTTCCCCCAGCTTCACTAGCGATAAGCAGAAGCAAGTCCAGAGGGGAAGCAGCGAGTCTGCAGTTCACCAGCAACTACACAAAGTCATCCAATAGCACTAGTGATGAGCACTCTTTTTGCCTAATCTCTTTGCATTCTGGGAATTGTTGGTTTTGCATGGAATAATATCACACTCTGAATAACCAGCATACATTCTGGTTGGGCATCCGCTGTGCTTCCTAGGCTGACTTGCCAAAGTACCAGCCCCTAGTGCCCTATTCTGAGGCTCTGCACCATCCACTTCTGCAGCATCACATCAGCAGGATCATTGTCTTTGCTGGTACTGCAACATTTGATAGCAGTGATTTGGGGGCCAGTTCACTGCATGCTGTGTGCTAGGTCGAAGCTGTGTGGAGTTCGCGTGAGCTCAGCACTTTTTGCTGCGCTGGAAGCCCCTGAGAGCTGCCTGAAGGGAGGGCAGAAAGCAGAGCTTGCCAAGCCTGTGGCAGGGGCCTCGGGGACCAGGCAGTGATTTATGTCAGTGGTAGATAGCACTGATTGACCTGTAATTCTGCAAACATCTGTTCTCACTTTTGCCTTCACTGCACACAGTTCAGACATACCAGCAGAGCAATTAGCCCTTGCTCTCCCTTTGCAGGCCAGGTCCTGGGAAACCAGTGCTGGGGATGGGGTTTCTGGCTGCTTGGGAGTGAGTTTGCAGAGGCTGCTTTGCTTTTTTTGACAGCCCAAGCACTTCAGCTGCATTAGGGGCTGACTCACCCCCACTCCAAGGGCAATGCTGAGCCGGCACCGATGCATGGAGCCTCATTGGCAGGGAAACCTGCCTCCTGGGAGCACAGGGGACTCTAATGCGCTTTGTAGGATGCCCATACTTCGTGTGCTGGGAGCAGCACTGGCTGTGATAGAGGCCAGGCCAGGGTGGTCCCTGGCACTGAGCAGAGACCACAGCTCAGCCCGGGTGCTGCTGATTTAAGCACTGCCAGAGGCAGGAACGGTTTCTCCACGGGCAGCAGAGGCTGCCTGTCCCATGGAGGCTTTCCCAGAGCCTCGCACCGGCCTGCCCAGGGCTGTTCCCCCACCAGCAGGTGTTTGAGCTCAGAAGGAAGTTCCCTGCTGGAAAGAAAAGTCACGGGCAGCTACCTGAGTCTATTATGGAGAGAGCTTCTCTCTCCTCTCCACACCCTGGAGTTGCTCCTGCAAACTTGCTGTGCAGAAAACACAGCAACCTTCTCCCCCTCGCAGGCACTTGCTCTAATTTGCCGCTGTGCTCTGCCGGCTGCTGCTGCAGGAGGTGCGATGCAGTTCATCGCACAGGGATAGTCTGCCATGGTTGCTCTGGGGAGGCTTCCATAATTTTTTTTCTCTAAAGCAGTTTCAAGGGACAGTTCCAGTACTAAAATAACATGGATGCAAATGGTTCGGGGCCCTATCTGGGCAGCTAATGGTCTGCACCTCAGGCTTCTCACTCCTAAGGCAAGGACACTGTGGCTGTGCCCAGGACTTGAAGGGGAAACGCTGTAGACCCTGGCTGCAACTGTTGCTGCTCTCCTTTCAACTCCAGCATGCGATAAAACCGTTTCCTTGCTTTTGCAGGTGCGAAGGCTCTTCTGGAGAGGGGGAAGGCATTGATTGAGCTAATGCTATTAACTGCCTTTAAGCACACACAGAGGAGAGGTAAAAAGCAAACACCATTCTGTCATTCAGCAGCTGGTGGTAGGTCAAAACAATTTGCGAATTCCCAGGTTTTGAGCTGTGGGTCCTGCTCTCAGGGCTGTCTTATCACAGCTGTCTTCTCCCTGTGCCTGAGGGAATGAGCTGTGGCAGGTGGATTTGGGCTATTCCACAGTTCCCAGCACATCCAAGCTGGGTGCTGCAGTCCCCCAAGCTGCATTGCTTAGGGAAATGACGCAGGGTGACTTTCACTGGGATCTCATTCTGCCCTTCTCATCTCCCTCTCCCCTGCCTTGGACACGGGGGGCAGAGCAGAGTCTCCCCACTTCAGTTTCAGAGGGCATCCATTAAAGGGAGCTATTGCCCGTGTTGGTGGCTGCCAGCAGCCATGCTCTTGGGGACAGACCATGTCGGGGAGTGTAAACGGGCAGCCTGATGGTGTTTAAATCCAGCAGCAGCCGCCCTCACCTGCTGCATCTCACATAGGTGAAAGAGGTGCCTGCCTGAACAGGTCTCCCCCCCTTTCACCACTGTGCCCTTCCTGTGCCAAGAGCCCCCATGTGCCTTGCTCTGCAGGCTGACTCACACTGAGGCAGTTTTAAAAGCTTCTTGCTGGTGCGGTGACAGATTTTGCAATATGTTTTAATGAGGTATTTACAGCTGCAGAGGCTGTCTCCTTGCACAAGGAGTATGGACTGGCCCCAGCAGCTGTGGACACAGGAGTGGCCAGACCCATTCATTGACATTCCTGCGACTCACCTGATTGCAGCACACAGTGGAAAACACTCAGACATGAGAAATGCCAGCTTAATTATCTCCTAATTGATACCTCCACACGGGGGACGAACGAAACCGGAACATCTCTGCCGCCTGGGAGCCTGCCACTAACAAACAGATTTAGAGCTAAAAATAACGCTGCCGTCGTGTGGCTAATCAACTTCAGTGCCTACCCGGGGTTAGGTTATGAAATTGTCTCGGGCTGGCAGGAGAGGTGGCGAGGGACCATGTGCAGCCGCTCGCTGCAGCGCGGGCTGCGCACCGAGCAGGGGCTGTGGCACTCACAGTGCCCAGGCTTGGGCAGCTGCTGTGGTGCCCTATGTGCCAACCCCATGAGCCTGATGCAGCCCCTGCAGCTCGCGAGTGCTGCCAGCCCCGCTGCCCCAGGGGACGCTCCAGGTGAGGCTGAAAGCAGCCGCAGGGCTGCGCAGTCACAGTGTTTCTCCAGCCTGCGACGCGGACGCGAGGCGTCAGGCACGTTCCTGTCATTAGGGGAGGCCGAAAGGCAACCGCGTAGCTGTGTGTTATAAGAGACCTTAAGTGCCTGGTACATTTCTCCACAGTGTACGATTTTTAGCCAGCCCAAGCGTCACGTTTGGCACCTGCATGGGCCTTGCAGCTCCCTGCAGCTACTGCACACCTCAGGATTGCTCACCCTGCTTCTCTTTACAGCAACACACACAAAAAGAGGCCAAATGGCCACAGCAAGCCCAGTTCTTTTAAATTATTGTCATCTTTATTTTTTTCCACGTATGTGCAAACAGAGGAGATCGCGATGGTGGTGTTCTTAAAAATAACAAAATGTATTTGCATACATTTCCCTATGTACAGGTGAACAGCCACAGGTAGAGTCTTCTTTTGCACAGCAAAAGATCTAGAGCATTGAGACGGGGAACAGGAATGGAGCCCCAAAAAGGGTCTAAATTAAAAATAATAATAATAAAAAAATCACAACAGTGCAAACCTCTCGGACACGACAGCACGATGGAGTGACTTTAATGTAGAAAACGGCCAGGCTCCCCCCCTCGGATGTGAAATTTCTAACTGTAAACAAGGCGCAACACCTCCCCCCCACCCCCTTTCCCCGGGAAAGCTATTCCAGGAAATTGGCAGATCTTCAAGGGCTGTGCCGGAGGTAAACAGCCCGCAGC